GAGGGCCTATGCCAGCTGTCAGTAATATGTATTTTTAAAAAATCTTATAATAGATTATGTGATTTGGGCATGTAATACAGTAGTTAGAAAAATTAGAATTGCATACCTATTTCAAAACTCCTTTAATTACTATATGTGTACATATATGAACACAATTTCTCATATCTGTAATAATGAAAAGAAGACACAGAAATGTTGTTGGGCCTTATCTCATTCTAGCAATAAGGAATACTCAGCCATGGATACATGAATTAAAAAGTCTTAGTCTCATCCACCTCATTATGAGATGCATTTGCAATTCAACTTTAACTTGTATGTCTAATAACTTATCAAAATATATAATATATTCACAATGACTTGATTGTATACTAATAAAAATTGCAATAAATCTGGAAAACAAATTGTTAACCTTTAAAGCTATATATATATTATATATATCATATATAATATATAATACATATAATATATATCATATATATCATATATAATATATAATACATATAAAAATATATAATATATATATAATATAACTGAAAATTTTTTTTAAAATTTAAGTGCAATGCCCATACTGGCCAGCTGCCAAAAAAAAAAAAAAAATTAAGTGCAATGTTTGTACTTTTTTGGCAAAGGAATGAAAATATGAATTTAAATAAAAACAGAAGGATATAAAATTTCTAATGTTAAAAAAGGTTGTTTATTTNCTGAGCGTGGTGCTGACAACAGCAAGTCAAGGGTTAAGATCCCCTTACCGGTCATCTTTTTTTAAAAAAAAAAAAATAAAAATAAATAAATAGGTCTTAGAACATGACTGTGGTGACAAGAGCTATCTTAGTACACTTTAGTTTTCAAACTGCAGAATGTATACCCCTGGGAAAACATGAATGCAGACAGTTTTAATAAAAGGGACTCTCTTTTCAGATTTTTTACTTCCACTGGACTCATTTATGACTGATCTGCCCAAGAACTTGTTGCAGGCAAGGTAGGAGCTCTGCTTTCCCACCTCCCTGTTTGTCACAACCTCCTCCCATTAAGGAAAGAAGGTGTAATTCTCAATCATCCCATATCTTACCTGCCTTATCTTACGCACTGCTCCAAGATGTAAAAACCTCCTCCTCATCTAACAAAAATAATGGTGCCACTGAGAAAGTGAATGGTTTAGATGACTGCATAACAAAATCCTCTTGCAAGCCAGGTGGTTTCTGATTATTACATTTGCTTTCAAGAAAAGTGGAGGGCCTATGCCAGCTGTCAGTAATATGTATTTTTAAAAAATCTTATAATAGATTATGTG